AGATGGAAGTTGAGACTGGTGTACGGCGATAGAAGTCGCACCCCCCTTTGTCTGATTGTTGGGCGGGGCTATGATCATAGCATTAGGAACGGTCCCATCCTCTTTGGTAGCTTCCACCTGCACATTGCCCTCCATGTCTTTTCCAGCATCGGGTTCCTCATCATGACCGTGTGGCCTCTTGAAACTAGCAACCGCGGGAGTGGCAATGCCGGCCTGGAGGTCCACCGGAGCCTGTGGGATTGGTGTATGCGCTGAGCTTCCCGGGATTGATACGTTCGATACATGGACTCCATTCGTAACGTTCAGCTTCTTGGACTTCCTATCGGTGCCGTCATCGAGCAATTGCTGGCCTGTTCTAAAAGTTGCCTGAGCCGCAGAATCTTCGACCTGCTTCCTCGTTGTTCCCTGATCTGGGCTGTCAGGAGTAGAGACGTCACCCACTCCATCGGTGGAGCCAGGCATCGAAGCCATATCATCGTACTCCTTCAATTTTTGGGTATACGCGGCCAGAGCTTCCGATAGTGCCTCGGTAAGTACTGGTTCTGGAAACGACTCATCCCAATTGTGTAGGAATCTGAGAAATTGCAGAATATTGTCTGCATCGGGATCCAACGACCAATCAGCCAGCATATCATAGATTTTGTAGACTTCTTTCCATATCGTGACTTCGAATCCCATATACTGTTCACAAAGTCGATGTCCAATCTGCCTGCAGAATGCGGATCTGTCATCAACATCCCACGCCTCGAGACCCTGAACTTCTGCCCTTGAGTGGTTGAGGCTGTTGAAATAGAGTATAAGCAGTTCCTCAGTTTTATCCACCACTTCGCTGATATCCATACGTAGCTCTTGCGGGAATTCGCGTTGGAGAAATGCCGGAAACGCCTGCTCGGCCCGGGTCTTGTTTGCTACCATTCCATCCAGGTCGCGCTTGAGATCACGGATTCGGGACTCGTAAGTGAAGATGAGACCAAAAAGTTCGTCCTCGTCCTCTTCCTCTTCCTTGAATCCAAAAACCCGTGTGTCAACGCGCGCAGCAAGAGAGGCAGCTGTCTGCTCTTTGACGAATTCTATGTACTTCGCAAGGTACTCGGGGAGATCGGCAGCTATTTTCCTGATCTGGTGCTCGATGTGGTCTTGATTCTTCTTTCGTGAGGTGGCCGGAGATGGTGTGCTTGTCGCTGCTGGCGAGGACGCAGGTCCAGGGGTGGTGTCGTAGTCTACACTAGACTTTGGCCAATATAGAGCGTAGTTTTCCACCGTCTCGTAGAGAGAGTCGTGTAGGGCTTCTATCTCTTCAGGGCGCCCATCGAGGCAATTCTGCAACCGCTTCTTCCATTCCACCATACCAAAGTAGTAGTGGTTCGCTCCAAAGCCTCCGTCTGTATCCTCCTTTTCGCTATGGAGCTTCCAGAGAGCCTCATCTAGTTGCTTGGCGAGTGTTTTGCAACCATCTGCCTGGGAACTCATGTATGACTTGATGTTGGAGTCTTCTGGTAGATTGTTATCGAGGTTTGAGAGGAGTAGCGTCAACTCTGCGTAGTGAGCCTGGCGATCTTTGAAACTGTCGGTATTGTTCGGCATAAAGTCTTTGAAGAGACTTTGCGTATCTACACCTGCTCTAAGCCTCGACTTCGGTTTGAGACGTTTCGGACGGCCATCTGGCTCCGCACGCGTCCCCTCGGCCCAACCAGTATCGTCGGTGGACATTGTGGAGTAACGCCCGCGGGCTACTTGATCAACTCTTACGAGTATCTAGGAAGTTGAGTGAGCTGAACGAACTTTGTGGTGGGCAGTGGATGAGGTGGCAAGGCGGGCGAAACCAGCCGAGCGAGAGGTCGAGAGGCGTTGCAAGATGCGGGGCTCTCTTTCAGAGTAGTGAATGGTTGTGACCGCAAGGCGGGTGCTTGACAGCCTCTGCGCTTGTAGAGGAAACAGATGGTGACGTACGTACCGCAATGGCCAGAGGTTATAAGTGGAATTGAGGGAAGAGATTTATACCAGTGCCGACGCGATATAGAAGATTTTGCTGCTTCGGGCTGTCGTAGATGGGAAGCAGTGTCGAGACTGATGGCAGTGTGCTTTAGCAGCGGTTGTGATATCGGTGGTGGGGTCGCGCTGTGTGTGGGTGTGCGGCGGAGGAAGTGAGAAGCTCAGAGCAGAGGTTACCTTTGTATACCTGGAGGTGCCAGATGACGATGCGCTAGTCGATGCCAAGAACCGCCTCGTTGCTCCCCGTAGCGGGCTCCCCGAAAGCGGCAGTGAAAGGGGAGTCTCCGGCGTGATTGATTGAAACTTGGTAAGCTGGGGTAGTGGGGGACTATCTTGCGAGGGGATTGGAAGGGTCTAGATACAAGGCTGAACGAAACGAGAGACCCAACATGCAGTGAAAGAATACTTCGATAAGTGACAAGTGAGAGAAAACTCAGTGACTGACCGCCTGGTTGTCCGGGGCACAACGCAACTCTTCCGCTCCTCCCCATACACAAAACCAACACATTTTTCAACCATAAGCTCTTAGCTCCGGCTTTTATCAAAGCAGACCCCAGAAACGCTGCGAGCCACCCCTAGAGGAGTCCGTAGAAGTGAATGCTTGGGCACGTGCGGATGCTTGGCAAACTGTCCACAACTCTACGTCATTTGAAACACGCAAATCGATGCTTGGAGATTATTCCACTTGGGGAGCTGTGAGTTCTGTGGAAACTATACTAAACAGTATTAAGTTAGCTGTGGCAAACAGAAAGGGAAATGAAAGTACTCAACCGTTTACCGGATATAGGCGGACCACGCTCACGCCCGTACTGCCTGACATCTTTTCAATTGGGGGCACAACTTCATTACGAGCACAGAGGCTACATAGTAGGACCTATACCATAGGCCTTAGGTATCCCTCTTATCAGCGCCGCAATTGTGTGACGATAATAGACCTTAGCAGATTACACTATGCTGTAAGCAGGAACGGTATCAGTTGCTTCTGAGGATGTGTCAAAGAATCGCCTCAGTATTCCCGCCAACTTTTATGGGTGACATTCGAAAAACACCAGCTGCTTCTAGGCGCATCCCCTGAACAGAGGCCGATACAGCAAGCCTGTGTTTTTCTCTTCCATAGAAAGTGACCAAGCACAATACCAGTTTAAAAGCCTGGATTCGTATTATGCCACAACGGCGCTCGCTTCCTTCTCTCTCCTCTCCTCTTCTTTCGCACCTAGCTTCCCATTGGATGTAAATATGCTCTGGAGTACAGTTTTGATTTCCTTCAAGAACCTATCCACCTCTTTCGCAGTCCCGACAGTAATTCGCAAGCACCCTAAACATCCATGCTCTTTGCCCCGGAAGCGTACTACAACTCCCTTTTCTTCTGCCAAAGCTTCGTAGACGGCTAACGCTGTTTCGTTAGAGGGTTTGCCACCTTCTCCAGGTACATCAAGCATTTCCACGAGCAGAAAGTTTGACTCTGCACCGCCGAGAAACCTACCAACCCCGGATATCTTAGGTAGTTCTTTCAGCATTCTTTCCCTTTGCTCCAGTATCAGATCTCGATTCCTCTGCATAACACCCAAGTGTTTTGGACTGAGCGCGGCCCGGGCGATTTGGCTAGTGGGATTCGAGATGTTGTATGGAGCTTTCAAAGAATTAAGTATCTTCGCAATTGCTGGATCTGTAAACGCAGCACCCAACCGTATGCCAGCAAGACCGAACGCTTTAGAGAGCGTCTGCATGACGACGAGGTTCGGCCATTCTGTCACCCATTCTGCGAGACTGGACCCTTCCGTTGCGAAATCGATATAAGCTTCGTCTAGGACTACGACGCCGTTCCAGCTTTCGTGCTCCAAAATTCTTTGAACGTCCTCCTTTTTCAGCAGAGCCGCAGTAGGGTTACCCGGAGAGCAGATATATGCTAGCTTTATGTTCCGATCCGCGGTCAGCGCCGATGTTATCGCGGGTACGTCCAGGCCAAAGTTTGGTGCGAGGAGCGGTACTTTCACAAGCGCGACATCGTTTACTTGGGCGGAAACGCTGTACATCCCATATGTAGGCGGGCACACGAGGATCTTGTCTTTGCCGGGGACGCAGAAGGCGCGAAGGAGGGCATCGATGGCTTCGTCTGAGCCGACGCCGACGAAGAGATGCTCTGGTGTAAGAGTCTTGGAGGTGTGCGCGTGGGTATTTCGGAGGTTGCACAAGTCTTGCTTGAGGTCTAGCTGGTGCCTGGAAATGAGTATAGATCAGCGTCTGAAGTGTGAAAGAAGGAAGACGAAATCGAGCGCATACGGGTCCGGGTATCGATTCAATCCTAATAGATCTACATCTATCGCTGATGCTGATCCAGAACTGCCATCCGTAGTCGTGCCACGAAGTTTTCCGCCATCATCAAGGGCCAGCCCGGGTCCGTACGCATTCTCGTTCGCGTCGAGTAAGATATTGGTGCCGTCGTCTTTGTAGTCACTAGCCCTTTCAGCTCTCGCCCTTTTTGAACTGCCATTGGACGCTTCTTACTCTCGCGCGCACCGATATGGCTCTAGTGCGAGGATAGCCGGCCGAGCGCACTTGGAAAGATCGAAAGGTGATGTTCTTGTAGTCATGATGCGTTGGTGGAGTTAGGATCGGGGTGGTTGGGGTTATCTTGACCATAAGAGAAGGCGGGGCTTTTTTCTAGCGGGGCAGAGAGCTGCGCGACCTCGGTGTCGAGTCATCGTCCACGGGCATTTGCCAGCTCTAGTGCTATATAACTCAATGTGTGCCTTGTAGGTTACTAGTAAAGAGGCTAGCTGTTAGAAAGAACAAGGAGTCATTCTAGTCCACAATAGAATAGTGCAATAATCATAAAAAATCATAGCGCAAGTGATGTTGAGCCGTAGCTAGCCCCAACACACGCACCGAATGCCGTCCCGCTTTGCAAAAAAACACTCAGCGCTCACCCTTACCTCCGCTTCAAGGTCCGTTTTAACTGTGTAGTATATATATTTGCTAATGCAAAAAATCTCCATCAATTCATCACATCCGATATGGTCTAGTGGCTAGGATTTGCCGCTCTCATCGAGAGTGCTACACTCTGTAGTGCCGGCAAGGCCCGGGTAAGTTACACTCATGAATCTGATGCAAAACTCAATACTAACACAAGCCTTAGGTTCGATTCCCGGTGTCGGAATACAATTTCATTTTTGGAGTTTTTTTGGTCTATGTAGTGGGGCACTAAGTACTTGGACTGCGGGGCTAGTCACGCCCTACGACTACCTACGTCGGCCCTCCTTTTTGATATATAATCTAGTCTACCTGCGTTTTGTTTACTCTCTTCTCTCCATTACCTTTCCATTACCTTTTTGCTTGGGGCAATTGCTAGGAGTTTCTTACAGGTCTACATTGAACTTCATTTACTAGTGAGGGGCATGCGTGGTATCTACACGTTGCACGCTGAGACAGAAGTTGCGACGAGTGCGAAGAAACAGAGGTGATTTGTTAAGCATACCTACTACTAGAATCATTGCTATAGACAAGACTACTTGGATGTACATCTCTTCGAGATAAGAATAGCGACACATCGGCTTGTAGCCCATATGTAAAGAGGATTGCGCCTATCGCACCAATCCACTCGAGAGTCGTACGGTAATGGTCTCCGCTCTCTCTATTTAAAGCAGTACCTAGTGCAACTAGACACAGCCGGGCCTTGTGAGGGTAGAAAGAAGCAAACCATTTGAACAGTGCTATATTACTTCTTGCACGGGTGATAGATTGCGAGTACAGTCTCTCAAAAATTAGCAACGACTTGTCAGGACCCAGGGGCGGTGCAGTCATCTAGAGAGTGGCTTAGAACAGGCAACCCAAAGTCGCAGCACGACCGCCATGCGAAGCGCTTTCAGTCTGACAGATCTATGCGCCATAGCCCCCAAACGCACTAATATGTACCGCGCAGCTGACTCTTTGCATACCAGGCAAGACGCGCCCCAACACCGTGCGACGAGCTACGACGCACTTTAGAACAAGCACCATGGATGTAGTCTGCGTTTATGATGACCTGGCTGTATTCAGGCGTCAACTAGACTGTTTAAAGGGGTGGACTGTCAAAAAGGAAGAGGTTGCGATGCCCAATACCTATCCTAGGCAATGTGGAGATGGGGCCCGTAAGCAGGGCTCTCGTGGAGTAATGCTCATGCGGTTCTGGCGGATAGCTGAGGCTGTGCACGTGCGCGCCGGTCAGAGCCCAGGAGATACGTAAGCGGGTAGCGTTGTGGATTTATTGATTCTGCAGCGTGGTGATGCACTCCGCAAAGTATGTAAGTGGGTAGGTAGCTAGCTGTTAGCCACAACGAGCTGCTTTCCTCCACATGCGCTAGCGTATCCTCTGGCTAAGCTTCGAAGCGTGCATGCTGGGCAACCTGTTCCTAGAGAAGTTAATATGCACAAGCCTGGGGAACCCCTCTTACGACCTGCAGCGTGAATCCTGCAGAAATACCACTACGCTCAATTTCGCACGACATTTCCCTAATCGGCTGCCAGATCGGACACCGTCTGCGTTGACCTTGCTTTTCTGGCGCGGGCCGGGGAACAAGGTTGAGAACGCATGGTCTGCGCTCAAACTCAAACTCAAAGCGACCGTTGAGGATCCGGCAACAACCGAATAAACAACGCATTTACATATCTGGTAGCGACCTCGAAGACCTCTGAAGAAGGCAGCAGCAAAAAGTCCGTCGATATTCAGGTATCGTCCATGCTATGGGGAGGAAAAAGTGCAGTTGTTTTGTTTTGTTTATACGAACTTGGGAAGGTGTTGTGGTTGCCGAAGTCCGGAGTACGAGAAGGCAACTGCGTCGAGTAGAAAGGAGCGCCACGGGATATTTGGAATGGCGGAGATGAACGAAAGACAAAGTGATTATAGCCGGGCGCTTTGAGCAGCCCCGAACGTGATCGCGTCGATTTGTTGTTGGTGAAGCGACTTCGCGATAAGGTAGTGAGTCTCGAGTCTCGACCACAAGGGAAAGGGGGTGGATGGCCCCAACTTCAGCCTTCCAAGGTTATTCTAACTTACAAAGTGCCATGCGTCAAGTACCCAAATCTAGAATCTAGATGTTGAAGTCTGATGTCCTACCCGATTGGGCCCGATCACTCGCTGACACAACTCGTCACCGATCAAGCCAGAGTTCGTGCAATTCTCTTGAGTCTTGCTTGACAATTTCTAAGGTTTCAGACATCGTGTGTTATTGTTATTCTGCAATACATTAGCTTGGGCCAACAAAGACGCGAGGGTATAGTTACCTACTAGGTAAGATTGGCCCGTGAGCATTGGAACTGAACTCTGTCATAGACGTGAGTCCAAAGCTAGACGGCACCATGATCACGCCCACTCTCCACTGTGGGGTCGTAGACCATGTCGATAAAGGTAAGACAAGATGAGTAGCGGGTTTTGATGGTTACCGCATTGTCCCATTTGAGTAAGACGCGTGAGTGAGACGCTTATATGTGATTTAGCTTAAGCGGGTACCTGCGTTGCGAACGCAAATGGAGCGTGTGCAGAGTGTGGCTAGTGCCAAAGGCCAATTTCCGCGCTGCGTATGCGCTAGGATATTGCGAGCGAGTGGAATCTGGGCGTACATGAAAGAAGAGGCGATGGGGCTGAAAATTTGCTGTTTGGGGCTCAATTGCTAAGGGTGGGTAAAAGCTAATATGGCATGAAAGACAAGGAAGCATGATAATGTAGACATCGCAGAGTGCGCCCAAATGCGCACTCGAAACGGGTATTATTCTTCTAGTAGATCCATGACAAGTTGGGGAATCACCTCCACGCCTTCAGCTCTGATCGCACTTACAGGAACTGAACATACATTGCGCCTCCATGCATGCTTACGGTTGCTTGGATGAGGCTGTGTGTTGCTCTTCACATCCTCGAGATACTGCTGTAGTGCCTTGTAATTCTCCTGAGTATCCGACAAGTCTGCTTTGCTGGCTACTACAAACCAAGGTTTTGACGAGATGGGCGTAGATGTCAAGAACGGGAGGGGCTCCAAAGAGGCATTCAACGTTGGCGAGTCAAGCTCGCCCACATCTTCTTTAGGGGCCGCACTCCTTGCGGATGGCCGATAGGTTACCATCCTGCGCTCAGTTTCGGCGTTCAACTCTTTGCCGCGCAAGGTTTCGTACTCGGATACTTCCCGCCACAGAAGCTTTAGCGCTTCGACGGCATCGCCTGCGGAAAGGTCAATGACGAAGGCAAGGACCGCCGCACGTTCGATGTGGCGCAGAAAGCCTAGACCGAGTCCTTTATCAAGGTGAGCGTCTTCGATAAGTCCAGGAACATCGGCGACGGTGAAATTATCCCTCAATTCACCGTCTCTCATTCGCTTTATGACCTTGGGGCGACCCTTGTGATTGTCCAAGACCACTGTACCAACATTAGGTTGTAGAGTCGTGAAAGCCCAGCTGCCTATTCGAGCGCGACTGTTGCTGAGTGCTCTCAGGAGCGTGCTCTTCCCAGCGTTCGGCAGACCAACAAGACCCAGATCTGCTAGTATTTTCAATTCAAGCTGTACAGAGATTTGCATGCCTTCGTCTCCTCGTGTGGCCATCTTCGGCCTCGATTGGTTCGATGTGACAAAGTGCGGGTTTCCTAAGCCGCCCATGGACCCCGCAGCAACAAGCATAGGTGTTTCCATATGCTTGTCCAGATCCAGCCATATCGGGGCCGGCGGTTGAAGCGCTGCTAGGTGCGACTTTCGAGGCGGCGGTAGCGCTGGGAATGCCATTCTGTTTAACTCGGTGGGTACCATGCCGGGAAACACCAGCCACCGGCCTTTCCTGTAACTTCCCGGGTCTTCTTCGGCGAGTTCTTCTTGACCGTACCGTTTTACCGTCCGCTGCGCCTGGATTGCTTCCTCGACGGGGTCGCGGCGCTGTATTTCGCGAACAATAGTTCCCACCGGCACGGTGATGACGATGTCGGCACCTCTTTCGCCGCCCTTCATTGTTCCTTGGCCGTTGCGACCTCTGCCTGCCTTGATGAGCCGCCTCCGCGCAAGTTTGTGGAGCGACGTCTCGCCGCGGACGGCCTGGATGTAGACATTTCCGCCACTGCCCCCGTCGCCGCCATTGGCAGGCCCTTCTTCGATGTACTTCTCCCTCAGAAATGAGACGCAGCCATGGCCGCCGGCGCCAGCCTCAATGGTGAGGATGCATCGATCAGCGAAGGGCGTCAGCGAGTAGTTGTCGGGGGTGGGATCGAGATGCGACGAGCGGGATTCGGGCGGCACCGACTGAGGGGGGGCATGGTCCGTAATTGTAGAGTAGCATCTTGTCCGCAGCGGCGGGGGCCTGTGGAGCAGACAGCGGCGGACGGCCGAGCCAAGGAGGGCTGCGTCGAGCAGGGCAGGATACAGGAACGGCGTCAGTGTGGAGCCCCAGAAGGACGGGCGAATCTGCGGCATGCGGCATGCGGCGGAGGGCTGCTGGGGGGCTCAGACTCCAGAGTCCAGTGATGAAACGGCTTCAGGTCACCTGGACACAAAGCGGAAGGCGTGGCTGCGCTCGTTGTCCGAACGTCTTCGCCTGAAGCTGCAGCTGCAGCTGCAAAACAAACCCGCCCAGCCCTCACTTACATAAGCTCGATCTCGGACTCCAGATGGAAGGCGCTCGGACCGATTGTGCACGTGCACCACCGTCTAGGTACCCGTGGACACCTGGGCACCTGGGCACCACCGTCCACGAAGTCCGCTCGCGTCTTCTCTCCATTACCGGTCGCCACTACACTCGCTGCCCGCACGGTGCCGAAAGCGAGGGGGGCTGCCTTCTCCGCGACGCCTGAGCACAAGACAGACGCGGCCACAGTTCATCCAGACCGTCAATCTCCGCGCCAGACCCAGCCTCTCCCACGACGCCCGCGCTCGCCTGAAGCCAGACTGCTGCTGCCGGCTGGCCCCCAGCACCACGCAGGTACTGTCGTCCGTTTGCATCTGCCCAGCCCTGAAACAGCGGGCTCCCTGCATCCAGTTCAAGGCAGTCATTGGCTGGTCCTGAGCCCACGTCAAACCATGATACTGTACCTCGCCTTTGGGGCAGCCTGCCTCATTCTGTTGTCTAATGTATCGTCCTCTGTGGCATCTCCGAAGTCTTTGCCTATCTCGGATGTGCAGTACGCACGTCTCTGCTCTTTCGTGAAATGGG